ACACACACACACACACACACACACACACACACACACACACACATGCACTCCCGGCTTGAGTGGGATCCAGCGTCTTGCAATAGTGAGTGCAGTGATGACACGGTACAGTTTGGCTTGGGGTTGATTTTCTCTTCTGTTTTTATAAGCATCAAAGTTAACTTTCCATTGTAGGAAAGAAAAACAAGGAGCCCTTTGTGGAAATCTTTTAAGAGCGTGTAGATGGTGTGTGTGTGTGTTAGGGTAGTGCTGGATGCTATAACAATGAGCCCCCGATATGACAAAATAATAATTTATAAATTATCAAGGGCTCATGAGGGAGAGGGTGCGGGGAGGGAGGGGAAAAATGAGGACCTAATGCCCGGGGCTTAAGTAGAGAGGAAATGTTTTGAGAATGATGAGAGCAATGAATGTACAAATGTGCTTTACACAATTGATGTATGTATGGATTGTGATAAGTGCTGCATGAGCCCCTAATAAAATGATTTACAAAAACAATGAGCCCCCAAACTTTAGTAGCTTAATGCAGTAACATTCACATAACAATTGAATTGTGGGTATTCTGGTCAGCAGGTAGGACTGATGGCCTGCCCTCCTTCCTCTTATGGCTCTGTCAACCCCTAAGGCATTAGAGTCCTCTGATGTCACCAGAAGAGGCAGAAAGAGGATGTAGAGGATCCACCTCTGCACCTTAATTGTCTTTGTCTGGACTTATCACTTGAGCTCATATTTCTTTGGCCCTCTTTGGTCCAACGGCCCTGCCTGGGTGAAGGAAATGTAATCACTGGCCGGGGGTCATTGGCATGAGTTATTGGTAGTGTCATTGCTCATTGCGGTGTCATGCTATGACATGTCTCTCCTCCAGTGGAAGTACCGGAGATCCGCCGCTCCAGATCAGGAACTCTGGATCAGGAGCTTGTTGCCAGGCGAGGATACTGTATGGGACTAGAGGGATCCGCTCGTTGTTTCAGTTTGGTCTTTATCTTAGTTTGAGCCCCTCCTTGAAACTGAGATTTGATGACCAATCTTTGTGTGTGTGTGTGTGTGTGTGTGTGTGTGTGTGTGTGTGTGTGGAGTGATCCCAGAAAACCCTGGTAAAGGTATGATGAAGCAGACCAGAGAAGGGAAGGCAAGCAAATAAAGGTTGACTTACCAAGCAAGCTACCACTGTGGGCATCTGGAGCATGGGCATACCACTGGGGCATCTAAGGTCCAGTATGGAACATGCATCTCTGAGTGATCCAACCCACCAGGTGAGGGAGCCTAGCCTTCTACACATTTCCCAGTTACCAGTGACTGGCAGTCCCTGTGTGTCAGAGCAGAGCTCTGCTCCACAGGGTTTCCAATGGCTGGATTTTGAGGAGACCACCAAGCCTTTCTTACAAGGCACCTTGGGGTGGACTCAAACTTCCAAGCTTCAGTCAGAAGGTGAAAGTGTTAACCATTGACACCACCCAGGTACCCCATTGACACCCCAACACGCATCAACTCTCACTGAAGGGTTGCTGTCAGAGTAGGGGACAAACACAAGGCTTTCTATTCCCGTAAAGAGTGACAGTCTCGGAAACTCAACAGGGCCGGTTCCCCACCCTGTCCTATAGGGTCACTATGAGCCAGAGTCGACAGGTTGACAGTGAGTTTGTCATAGAACAGGCTCAAGAGGCCAGAGAAAGACCCAGGGAAAAGACTTCCAGATGTTAGCAACTGGCAGCCAGGCAGGCAGGTCCTGGAATGGCCCAAGAGAACAAGGTCTTGGTACCATGGACATCTGACCTGGCCCTGGGGAGGCACGGGGGCTGCGCATCCAGTTAACTCAATACTCAGCAATCTGTCTTTGGTGTTGTCTTGTCTCTCTTGTCCAGTGTGTCTGCCGAGGAAGCCAAGACAAGCGCCCCCAACCCTCAGGGGGAGGGCGATGAGGAAGCTGCCCTCCTGGAGCGCCTGGCCCGGCGGGAGGAGAGGCGCCAAAAACGCCTCCAAGAAGCTCTGGAGCGACAGAAGGAGTTCGACCCCACCATCACCGACGCAGGCGGGTCGCTCCCCAGCCGAATGGAGAACAACACGGCCGAGAATGAGGCCGCCGAGAAGGAGGAGAAGAGCGAGAGTCGCCAAGAGAGCTATGAGATAGAGGAAGTGCAGATCATCACCAAGGCCTACCAGAAGAACGACTGGAGGGACGCGGCCGGAGAGAACAAGAAAGAAGAAAAGGAGGAGGGAGAGGAAGAGAAGCCAAAGCAGGGAAGCGTTGACGACCATCAGGTAGAGGTTATGGTGGAGGAAAGAAGGAGAGAAGGCACAGCGGAAGCTGTCGGGACGCCCCTGAAAAACGGGCATCTCAGTGCAGAAGAGAGCACCCCAGAGGAGGGGAGGGACCAAGAGTCGGAGGAGGGGGCCCATCAGGAAAAGGTGGAAGCGATCGAAAGGGAGCGGGCCGAGGCAGAGAGGGCAAAGTTGGAGGCGGAAGAAAGAGAAAGACTTCAGGCCGAGCAAGAGAGAAAGATGGCGGAGGAAAGAGCTAGGGTGGAGGCCGAAGCACAAGCTGCACGAGAAAGGGAGCAGAGGGAGAGAGAAGAAAGGGAAAGAGCGGAGGAGGAAGAGAAAAGGGCAGAGGAGAGGCGACGGGCACAGGCGGAGGAGGAAGAGAAAAGGGCAGAGGAGAGGCGACGGGCACAGGCCGAGGAGGAAGAGAGGGCCAAACGAGAGGAGCAAAGACGTAGGCAGCAACTGGAAGCGAACAGAAACGAAGCTCAAGAGCGGAGGAGCCAGGGGGAGAGGGTCCCAGAGCAACTAGCAGGGAAACGGGTCCCTGAGAAGAAGGTGCCAGAAGAGAAAGCTCAGCCCGCCCACCCCAAGAAACAGGTACCGTGACCACCCTGTGCCCATGTGTGATGCCTGCACCTTGGGAAAAATGGAATGCACTTCCAATTTGGGGTGGACACCCCATTCGTACACCCCCCACGTGCTTGATTGACCCTTGGGTGAGCTATTCTTTTTTTTTTTTTTCCCCCCCAGGCCATAGCAATAAGCAAGCATGAAGCAATCGGTTCATGGCTACAGAAGCAATCGACCAAATTTACTGGGATGATCAAAGGACGCTGATTGCTTGATGCTTGATTGCTATGAATATTTTTTTTTTTAAAAGAAAAAAAAGAATCCACCCAAGGACACCGGCGTGTTGACTTGAGATTCTGCACCTGCCCTGCGTTCCGCTCATTCTTCTTCACACCTTCCTCTTGGTCCAGAGGTCTACCTGGGGCAGGAGGCCCAGAATGCCTCACCTCGGGCATGTGTTTGACATTTGATTTGGGTTTGATTTGTTTTCAAAGATAAAAGTGGGGGTGGGAAACCAACCTACAGAATCAGGGCCAGAAATTCCATCTGCAGGAGGCCACCACACACTCCTTGCAGTCAGCTGGTCATCAGAGGGCAGTGGGGAGAGGCGCTGGTTTGGCACCGCCACCCGAAAAGTGTCAAACCATCGGCCTGCCATCATGTAGACCTGGCCCCAACATGGACCTGCGGATAGTCCTTCACCTGGGGTAGCATGGGTCAGAGTTGGCCGGTCACAAAGAGCAGAGCTCTTGCTTCTCTGACCATCTGGGTGACACTACTCTGTGTGGCCCAACGACGGGTGGCAAGAGTGGGGAAACGATGTCAGCTATCATGTTGTCCTTCTTCCTCTGTCTGCAAGGCTGCCTTAAAAGCACTAACCACTCAAGCGAAATGCCAGGCTTGTCCATTCACCTTTCCAACAAGAACTCTCTGTCCCTAAGTTGCCCAGCTCTGAACCTCTCTCACCCTGGCTTCCGGACAAGGGGCTCATGAGCACATCCATAGTGGAGAAACCCACGGCCGGCGTGCACCCCACCACACACACACATGAGGTTGCCACGCCCACAGGTGCCCACCTCGCTGTTTCCATGAGCACTGTGGTGCATGGGAAGGTGGGGAGGAGATTTTGATGGAAAGAAAGCACCCCCACCCCTCGCTGTTTAGAACCACTGGCACCAGAGGGGAGTATGGGCACTAAGGCGGCACAAGGAAGTTAGCCCCTCTGACACGTGCATGGTAATCGAATGCCCTCACCCTCTGGGAAGACAGAAAGGGCACCTTTTCAATGAATGACCCGACCCTTCTTGAAAAACAACAAGGGAGAAGACAAAGGGACTAAAGTACAACTTAAGAGAGAAAAGTCCCAAGAAGACAAGGCCACCTTCAAAAAAGAAGAGGTAACTGTCGCTGTGAAATTGTCTGGTCCGAGAGTGGCCGCCCATTACATTGTCCAGGCGGATGGTCTCAAAGTGGGAATCCCCAAACCCCGTGTTTTTCAAACTGTGACTCGTGATCCACCGAATGGGGAAACCAAGGTAGAGGATCTCAAAATTCATTCAAAATTTCGATCAGGGATTTTGGTAAGCGTATTAGAAAACACCGCAGCGCCTAGTTGGCCGGAAGCACTACTTTGGGATGGAAATCAGGTTGTTGTGGGTCACGGTCAAACGAGTCTGAAAAACCCGGGTCTCATTTTGCTCTTCCTGGGCTTCCCGCTCTTCTGGGTGCTTTGTTTCTCTGCTTGAAACATTCTACTTACAGTCCAACCTGTACAAAGTCTTTCCAACTGGCTTTGACTAATGATTTAACTTCTCCAAGGGGAAAAACCATTCCCACACATCTCAGCGCAACATGCGGTGAATTGTGGGGTTTCCAAAGAAAAGTCTAACCAAAGGTTCTGCATTGCGTTTCTGAGGCACACACAAGAGCTGGGGCCAAGGTGTTTGATGAATGGTAAGTTGTGGAGCTGGGAGACCAGACGCTGGCGAGGACCATTCTCTGGGGTGCTGACACCATTGAAGTGTTGTGTCGGAAGGCTTGGCCCCATTTTAACCATTGCCCTTATTTCAGCCCCAAGGACTCACTAATAAGTACTTAAGTACAAGTGGTCAAATGGAGTTCTCGAAGGTAAGAAGAATTGAACAAGCTGGCCAATGGAATAGGCAAAGTGAGTTGTAGACCCTGAGTTTCGAGCCGAGTGGATTCCTACTAAGTTTTCCTGCCTATGACGGCCTCTCTTAAAAACACCCAATATAAGGAGTCCTGGTGGCATAGTAGGTTAGGCACTGGGCTACGAACTACAAAAAACACTCAATATTTTCAACAGGAAAAAAAGAATCCATATTTAGGAACTAGATGAGCTAGATGGACTAGCGGTTGTTGTTGTCACGTGCCATCAAGTTGGTGCCCCCTCCGGAGCCAGCCACCGCCCAGTCCTGCGCCAACCTCACAACGATGCTCGTGTTTCATCTATTGCTGCTGCCGTGGTGTCAATCCATCTCATCAAGGGCCTTCGTCTTTTGTGCTGCCCCTCTGCTTTACCAAGTTTGGTGTCCTTCATGGGAGACCGATCTCTCCTGGCCCTGTGTCCAGAGTATGTGAAACCAAGTCTTGCCAGCCTTGCCTCTCAGGAGCATGCTGCCTGGTCTTCTTCCAAGACAGATTTGTTTGTTCTTCTGACCGTCTGTGGTGCTGTCAAGAGTCTTCTCCAGCACCACGATTCAAATGTACCGATTCTCTCTCGGTCTTCCTTTTTCCATGTCCAACTTTCAGATGCCTACGAGGCAATGGAAGATACCATGGCTTGGGTCACCGGAGCCCTCAAAGGAACCTTCTTGTTTTCCAACACTAGCAGGTGGTTGCAAACCTAGTTTCCTGTGGTTCGTATCAAAAAGCAGAGCACCTGGTTCCTTTGATGTATCTGACTTGATTTATGTTAAGATGCCTGACCCTCCCTACGTCTAAGAAAGCACCGCCGTTTAGGAGTGACCCCTGAATATGAACACTGCCTCTGTAAAGAAAGGAGAAGGTGCAATTTACCCAAAAATGCAAGTTATCTTGTCCCTGAACTCAAGCAAAAATGTTGGTCTATGCTCTTTTCTCAAGCTTGGATCTAGTGGAGAACATCTTTAACTTCAGAGTCCCAGGGTGCTTGCCACTAACCACCAGGTTAAGGGTTCAAAACCACCCTGGAAGAAAGGTCTGATGATCTGCTTTTGAAAGATCACAGTCCTGAAACTCTGAAACATGTGGTGTTGGCAGGAGTGAGAACCTGGAACTACAATCCTGTAAAAAGGATGAAACCAAAGCAAGATTCCAGGAGACTCTGCATGGTCTTGAACCACCAACCTTTCATTCAGTAGGAGAGCATGTCACCATTTGCCCAATCAGAGACTTTCCCCTATAAAAACATCCGTAATTCAGTGATTCTCTTTATATGGAGAAGGGGAGGTTGCTACCAATTTAGATTCTATATTTTAAATGTAATTCCATTCACGATGATGAGGTTGAGATCTGTTTTGCTGTCTGTGAGGCACAAAAGGGACTTCAGCTGTCACCCAAACCCTACTGTCAACTCTTTTTAGATAAGGGCACAGCTCATCAATGCCCCTGACTTCAGACCTGCCTCCCTCTCCATGGGCGCTACAGCACCCACCGTCCCAGTGCCCTAACTTGATGGTTGCCCCATGGAGGCCCTTCTGGCCCAAGAACAAGTCAGTATTCACTGGACAGGAGAAGGCAGGGTTTATTCTTGATCTCCTGGGCCTACCACTGATTGGGTTCACATCATTTTGGGGGTGAGGAGGAGGTAAAGGGGTTCAAATCACTTTGCTTATCTCATCTCACCATGTGAAAGGAGAGCGTGATCATGTTCCTTATCCTATCATTTGCCTCTCAGCTTCTGGTTGGTGCAGCCTCTTCCCACCAACCAGAAGCCAAGAGGCAAATGATAGAATAAGGAACGTGATCACCTAAACCCAAAGCCCTCTTTTTACACATCCCAGAGACATGACTTTATGGTGTTAGTTATCCAGTCCAAGAGAAAATAATACAGAGTCACACTCAAATGGTCATAACAACCACCCCTCACTTGTCAACAATCTTAGGTTCCAAAGACCAAGTCATTATGCAAAAAAAGTAGATGACCACATCAGATCACAAAATAGAGGATGATTACATCTTTGCATAAACTGCCTAATTACATCATTACCTGACTGCCAAACCACTGAAAATCATGACCCAAGCCAAGTTGACACAGAACCTTAACCACCACGAGACAGCGTTACTCCTACCTCCTCTCCCATTTCCCTATGACCAGACGTACATTGTTAATGGGCACAAAAAGTCAGAGGGTACATTTTTTGACTGCTATCATAAATGTGAAAAGTCAGGTTAACAAGACAGTTGGTACGTGAGAACTTGATGTATAGAGCATTTTCCAATGAGAGTTTCCCAAAGAGAATACAAGCACACAACTATAATCTTTCTGACTTGTTCAAAGTAATGCAACTAGTGTGTGGACAGCACTGCTAACAACTCAGGTTTCCTGACATCCGGACCAAGCTCTCAGAGAAGAGAGCAGGGCAGGATGGTGGCTTGTCTCTTCAGTGAGTCTCAGGTACATCTGGGTAGATGCTCCTTGGAGGAAGAGTAACAGTGATGACCTATGAACTAACACAAAACTATAGATTGACACCGTGGCTGCAACACTGAGCTCAAACAGAAGAACAATTGTGAAGATGGCGTAGGACAGGACAGTGTTTCATCCTGTTATGCACGGGTTCGCTATAGGCAGAACAAACTCAATGGTAACTGACAACAATACAAAAAGAAGACAATCAGGCAAGGGGCTGGCGAGGGCTCCTCAGTACAGAGCACACAGGGCACGCCACTCAGCTTTGTTCAAGATGTGCTTGAAGGGTAAGTAAATGCTCGGGCGTGTCTGAAGAATAGCTGGAATGAGGAGAGGGATCAGTTGAGGGGAACACTTCTCACACAGCGCCTCAAACCCTCAGTTCTCATGCCCTCCTCTTCCTCAGAAGGTTTCTCCAGCTTGAGAGTAATTGCCTTGACAATAGTCACTGTGGACTTCACTCTGCTGTTTTCACGGTCTCCTTTCACAGATGGTGAGATGAGATAAGCAAAGTGATTTGAACTCCTTTACCTCCTCCTCACCCCCAAAATGATGTGAACTCAATCTACTTTGACATGATCTCTCATTTTCCATGAGGAGCTAGTAATGCAAAGCTCATGCAGCAGTAAAGCCCTGTATGTGCCATCTCTCTCTACCTTCCCACCGCCGCCACCACGGGAATCCAAACCCACTGACAGCCTCCATGCAAACTCCAAAGCCTGTCCTGTTCCATTCGAACTTTCATCATGGCCACTACAGCCATGGTTCCCCCAACGTGGGGCTCGGAGGTTCTCCATTCTCCAGACCCTAGATGCTCATTTGGTTAAAATACAAAGGACTCTTCTTCAAAGAGGTGCTAGACCTAGCTGACATGACAGGTTTCCTCTTGTTTCTCAACACGTGTGTTCTTCTCAAAGGTACCCCCTTCATCAAAGAAAAACGGCTGGCTGTCATTCCTTGCTTCTCCCCAGTGAGAAATCAAACAGCTACTCTTAAGTGGGGTTCCCAAAGCATCAGAGCTGCCCACCAATAACACATTCACTGCTGCTGAAAAAAAAAAGGGCCCGTGAGATCAGAGATGATCTTGACTTCCTACAATTGTGGCCAAGATCTTTCTTTGCCCAAAGGCTGAAGGACCATAGCTCAGTCTCTGAGGATTTCCTCCCACTTTGGCATTGTTCCCCTGTATTAGACAGGGTTCTCTAGAGAGATAGAACCAAATTGCTGGTAATTTAATATATTTCTTTATAAAGATAATTAGATATATAACAAGAAAGGAACAGTTAAATTATAAAGCACTACAAATGGCTCAGTGCAACTCACTCCCATGAGAGTTGTGAGAGACTAGCAGTCCTTCAAGTCTAGTCTGCTGCCAGAACTTCCTCTATTTATAGAGAGAGCTAGGCTATGTCAGCACAACAGCCAATCATAAGGCAGGTCACCAACTGTCAGCCAGGTCACCAACCGCCAGTCCCCAGCTCCAGAGATGTCTTAAAGGGACCTCAACTTACAGGCTAGGTGTCCCACAGGTAGTGTAGCCTTTAAATTGAGGCACAGAACAAGCAAGGCAGCCGCACACTGGTCTGATGATCAAAGAGCGAGAGACAAGAAAGGCGAGGCTCAGCAAGTCATTTATCTCTCTGCCCTTCAGTTAATCCCACTTGTGTTTATCGGCCAGGCTGGCACAATAAATTATCTCATCCCCTATAGAGCAAAAGCTCCCAAACTTTTCAGGAAAGAAAAAAAATTACTCAGCATGTCCCCTGGCAATTAAAACCATGTGTACTATCACCACCCCTCCTCCAGGAAAGTGTGTAGGTATCAGCTACAAAGTGGGGTGGTTTGACTCTGGGAGACTCTGAGCTAGAAGTTGGTTTTCCTGCTGAGACTTCTGGTTTCCCAACAATTATTGAGTCTTCTTTGGTGAGACCACCCACACCCTACTAAAAGCAGTGTCGCTTTGTTTCTTTCTGTCGGGTACTGTCGCTTAGAGCAAAGGTGAGAAGCTCAGAAAGGACAAAGAGCCCAAGGAAGAAGGGAAGAGCATCCTGGATCGGAAGAAGGGATTCACAGACGTCAAGGCTCAGAATGGAGACTTTATGGCTCACAAACTGAAGCCCACCGAGAACACTTTCAGGTAAGAGACGGAGGCCAGGGAGCAGTGATGGTCCTCAGGTGTGTCCGTATCCCGTGTCTCAGACAGAAGCATGCTAACCAGTCTAAAGTCACCGGCCGTGTCTCAGAGATGCTCGGTCAGCACACCAGGCTTTCCGTGCCTCTCACAGACAGGGATTATCAGTTCTTCTCATTACTCAGAAAGGTGGATCAGGGCTGGGCCTGGTGTCTTTGTTCCTTAGCCTCACACGCTCATATCAGCTTTGTGTAGTAGAAAATTTTGTGAAACGGCTGAATGTCATTGGTTCATTCTCTGGGTGGTCCAACCATCTTCTGAAGACATCCCTTCCAGTACCACTCCCCATGCAGTGTCTTCTAAAGACCATGGACATTGCATAAAACTAAAATGTGAAGTCCCTGGGTGTCACACACGGGCAAGTCTTTGACTTATGGCATAAGCATTGCCCAAACACTGGAAGTTTGAACTTGCCCAGAGATTTCCCCGGAAGGCAGGGCTGGTGATTTGCTTACCAAAGGTCACAACCTTGAAAACCCTCTGGAGCAATTCTCCTCAGCACACAGGGGTCACGCACAATGGGGTCAAAACCAATTCCACTGCAGCTAAAAGCAACGACAAAATTAAAAAGGGGCCCAGGCCAAACACAGGGAGAGCTGGACCTTCTCAGAACTGGCCCCTGTGGACTTCCTGTTTCCTCATCATTAGATCGTTTCCACTAACAGCTAACGCAAAGACTGCACTTGAATGAACAAGATATGGAAATAGCAGGTGTTACTAAAACTTGTGTAGAAAGTACAAAACAAGGGTTTGTTTGGCTTTTTGTGTATTTTTTCAGGTGGAAATTAAAGGTTTCCATCTGATTTTAGAAGGAAAAGATGCATGCATTATAAAACCTTCAGAAAATAGAACTATTAAAAATCAACCCACCACCCAAAGATGAACACCATTACCATGTTTCCAAACATTTCCTATGCATATACAATCAAAATAAACCAAACTCAAACCCATTGCCATAGAGTTGATGCTGACTCATAGTGACCCTGTAAGACAAGGTAGAACTAACTGCCCCTGTGGTTTCTGAAAGTAAAACTCTTTGTGGGAGCAGAAAGCCTCATTCTTGTTCCACGAGGCTGCTGGTGGTTTCGAACTGCTGACCTTGAGATAAGGAGCCCAATGCACAACCCACTACGTCACCAGGGCTTCTACACTCAAGAAAGATACATAAAGACATAGAGTATAGCTATGTCTATGGGAGTATAACTATAATTATATTTCTAAGTGAATTCTTACACGTGTGTACAATTACATCGTAGCTCAATTTCCATGCCCATAAATACAAACCTAGAAGTCAGATTTTAATGAAGCGAGAATGTTCCGCTCTGTGAAGGTATCATAATGTGAGCCCTGGTGACTCAATGGTTAAATATTTGGCTGCTGACTGAAAGGTTGGCAGGTCAATCCCACCCAGAGGCTCCTTGTGAGAAAAGAGCTGGTGACCCTATAAAGATTGTAGCCCAGAAACCATCTGAGGAAGGTCTCCTCTTTCACTGGGTCAGAATCCACTCACAGTGTGCAGTGGCATTTGACTGTCCAGAACAAAGACTGCGCGTGTGACACCTGGTGGGATCCAGAGAGGTCTCAGTGGGTGGGTGCCTTCCCATTCTGAGCCCTGTGCACAAAGGAAGAGCAATCTCACCCTGACCACGGAAGGACCTTACCGACGTGAGGAAGGAGATGTGCTCCTAGGAGGCACAGGGTGAAGAGCCCCGAAGACCATCTAAGAGCAATGTAAAGTTTTCAGAACCTCCTGGATCTTTGTTGAGCTCAAAACAGAAGAATGCAGCTTTAACTGAGTCTAGAACAATATTTTTAAACTTTCTAACTTCAGCCACTCTTCTCTCAGTCTGCCCTGTGGGTGGCCTGTGTGCTACTCTGCTGCTGGAAGCTGTACCACCAGGATTTCAAATGTCAACTGGGTCACCGTTGGTGGGCACATTTCAGTAGAGTCTCCAGACGCAGACAGACTGCCCACTTCTGAAAAATTAGCCAGTGAAAAGTGTAGGAATAGCTGTGGAACATGCTCAAACATAGCTCCAAACGAGGGGCCACTTATAAGACGACTCGAACTACGGCTGGAAAAGAGCTACCTCCTCAAAGTTGAGTCCGTCAGTGGGGACCATTGTGCTTGCTAAGACAGAGCATCAGTGGAGGTAGAAAGAAGGCCCTGGATGAGATGGATGGACACAATGGCTCCAAAACCTAGACTGGAACCTAGGAATGATTGTGAGGACGATGCAGGACAGGGTTGCTATGCCACCAGTACACACCTAAGTATCCGAAGACCAAAAATTTCATGGGAAAATTCTATTACCTTTCAATTACCTTCTTACATGAACTTTTTAAAGCCCCTTCATCTTGGCAGCAACTGAAACCCAAACCCCAAATCCATTGCTGACCCTGTAAGACAAAGTCGAAGTGCCCCCGCGAGTCTCCAAGGTTACCCCTGAGGGTAACTGCAAGTCCCTTCTTTAAGGAAGCACACTGCCTTCTTCTCCCATGGGGCAGTGAGTGGGTTCCAACCACCAACCACCAACTGAGCACTTAACCCGCCCGTCACCATCAGGACACCTGACGCCGAAACAGCCGTGCTGGTGTTGGGTTTTGGGTGTTTCCCTGGCTTCAGACACTCACTGATGTTTTCCATTTCCTTTCCTTTCTTTTTGACTAACTTTATGTATTTAATGTAACTAAAGAAGTTAGCGAATACATCTTCCTGTAGCAAAATTCATAGCTGATGATTTAACATCTACAGTGTAAAGAATTTCAAGAAATATTTTAGTTTAGTCAGACAGCATCTGACTTTTTAACCATTTTTGCAATGTAAAAATATTCCATTCTAATACCCATATTCCCTAGGCCATGCAATTTGAAAGTGTTACCTAAGCCATGACATTTTGCAGGTGAAAGCAAGCATTTTCCTACAGTGAGGACAGATAAATGTATGACTAACAAAGTGCCACTGGATTAGACGGTGTCATTTCAATGGGCTCCTTGGAGAAGGACACGTTTTATTTCAAAAGTACCCACAAGCACAGACCTGGTCATTTTCATTATACTAGCCTAGACTAGGTGCATTACCCTCGGTAACAGGCACAGCAGTGATTATCCATAGCACCCGTGCCACTGCGTTTTCTGAAGTGCTGATTGCAATCCATCCCATTGCTTTCCCGGCCTGCAGCTTGGACAGCATCGTTCTAGAGGACATAGGCATTCAGGATTCCTTCAACAGGTAAAGAGCATGAAATGCGAGGGGCCTTCACAACATTCGTGGAAAAAATGGAATTTTAAGATAATGGAATTTTCCACTCACTTTGTGCAGCCCGCTGGCATTAGATCAATATTTGTCGATGTGTATCTTGAATTCATTCTTTGCTTCACCCTTCTGGTTGCTCCCGAGGTAGAGACCCTGCACGATTCACCCCATGGGATAAGTGAAATTGCTGTTATTAGGTGCTGATGGGCCCATTCCAACTGAAAGCAACCCAGGTACGACAGAAAAAGACACCGTCCAGTCCTGTACCAGCCTCACAATTGCTCTTGTCTGAGCCCATTGTCACAGCCACTGTGTCAATCCGTCTTGTTGAAGGTCTTCCTCTTTTTCGCTTCCCCTCTACTTTACCAAGCATGACATCCTTTTCCAGAGATTGGTCTCACCGGATAACATGCCCGAAGTCCGTCAGATGAAGCCTTGCCATTCTCGCTTCTGAATGGCATTCCGGCTGTCCTTCTTCTGAGAGAGATGTGTTTGGTTTTTTTCACAGTCCGTGGTTCTTTCCACATTCTTCCTCAGCATCGTTATTCAAATGCATCGATTCTTTGACCTTCTTCGTGTCACGTCCAGCTTCCATCTGAATATGAGGCCATTGACTTGAGTCAATGCACATTCTAGTCCTCATAGGGACATCTTAGCCTTCCAGTCCTTTAAAGAAGTCAGGTGCCACAGATTTACCCAATGCAATGAGCCATCTGGTCTCCTGACTGCTCCTTCCGTGAACAACGATCCTGGATCCAAGCCCGATGAAATCCTTGACAACTTCAGTCTTTTCTCCATTGATCATGGTGATACCTATTGGCCCAGTTGTGAGGATTTTTGTTTTCATACATTGATTTGTTATCCATATTGAAAGCTGAAATGATATTAGGTAGGGGCAATGCATATGTTTTTTAACCCAAGGTATCATCAATGAGTCACCTACCTTAGGACTTAGTTAAGAACAACCTCAGAACTGGTTAAGTAGTATTTAAATAACTGACAAGCTATTTCCGTGTCACTTACTTGAAGGCCACCTATCTACCAAGGCCCTCTGAACACACCACTAAATTCTCTTACACAGAATCCTTGGGAGTCCCACATACGTGAAGTCTGCATTGAGTACAGACATGTTTTGAAGATAATCAACAATATTCAAACTCCACGAGAAAGCACATTTATCCAAGGAGCTTGGTCCAAGGGTGCTAATTTTCTTGCTCCATCTTGTAACCCATTAGGAATGTCTTTCCCACAATACGTGTTAACACAGGACCCCTGGATAGCACACCAGCTCCAGTGTTAACATGTTCCCCATTGTCCAGTGAAATCCCTGAGGGTTATCCTTGATCTCCAAAGGAACACTCAACAGAGCATCCAGTGCCTTGACCTTAGTGGCCCTTGACTCCCGTATGGTGGCCCCATGTGTGAGAGCAGAACCCTGCTCCACTGGGATTTTTCAAAACTGTGACCTTTCAGAGGTAGGCCGCCTTCTCTAGACACGCCTCTTAATAGGTTTGAACAGCTCATCTTTCTGTTAGCCGTCAGTACTTAACTATTTGCACCACCACCCAGGGACTCTAAGCTTCAGTTTTAGTTTCTACTTTTAAACACATACTGATTTTTTCCCCTGGTGCAAAAGCTGTGGTCTCTGATAAGACGTGACTTCCACTGAGACTCGAAGGGTAGCTGGACCTAAAACCCAGAAATGCATTGTCCTCGAGTCACGCTGACTCATAGGGACCCTGTAAGACAAAGGCGCTGCCCCGAGGGGTCCCAAAGCTGTCATCTTTACAAGTGTAGACTTCTGCCTCATTCTCCCCTGGAGTGGCTGGTGGGCTCAAAGTGGTGAAGCACTGAGCCCCCAGGGCACCCACCTAGACCTCTGACCTGAAAACAGACTCACTGCCATTGAGTCAATGCTGACTCCCAGTGATCTGCAGGACAGGACAGAACTGCCCCTGTGGGCTTGTGAGGGTGTAAGTCTTTGGGGAGAGCAGAAAGTTTCATCTTCTGCTAACTTTGGGTTTGAACTAATGACCTTGTGGTTCTCAGCCCATCAACTAACCCAGTATGCCAAGACTCCTGGCTAGACTTAGAGATAGGAATCAGGTCACAAGGCCTCTCAAGGATGGAGGCAAGAGGTAGGGTGGTAAGTAACCCTAGGATAGACCAAGTCATTATTTTAAAACAAGTCATTATTGAACTTCAGTGATAACTCACATCAACTCACTGCTCCAGAGTCCACCCTGCCGCTGAGAGACCCTGCTGAACAAAACAGAACTGCACTCGGGCGTTTCCGAGACTCTCACTCTTTAGGGGAGTGAAAAACCACCTCTTTCTCCTGTGAAACGACTGGTGGTTTTGAACTGTCAACCTTGTGGCTAGCAGCCCAACCTGTAACCACGACGCCACCAGGGCTCCTCTAGAGTGTCTTTAGTCTTAAGATGGGAATAATGGTGCTCATCTATCAGCTTCTCAAGTGGTGTGACCATCAAAGGACCAGACCCTGGAGAAGGACCTCAGGCTTGGTTAAGCAGACAGTCAGCCAAAAAAAAAGGAAGCTTCTCGATGAGATGGCCTGTCACATTGGCGCAGAGGAAGCAGTGGTGAGGCTGGCGCAGGATCAGCAGTGTCACATTGTGTTGCTATGAGTTCACTGTGGTTCAGAGCTGACTCAATGGCGCCTCACAAGAGCCACGTTAAATGAGAGTGGATGTGGACAGGGCAGGGCAAGCATCAAGCATTATCTGAAAGTAAAACCCTAACCCTGTCATAGCAGAGCTTGCTCTGTTTCTGAAAGCCCTGATAAGGAACATTCCAGATGCACTGGGGTCAAAGTGGGCAGAAAGTATGCAGATGGAGGTCATAGGTTAACACGCAGACTGGTGGGAACTTTCATGGAGTCACTCCAAACTTTCTTGGAGTCACTCCAAGGAAGTAACACGGTTCTGTGCTTTGCTGTCTTCAAGAGGCAACAAGGAACCGCCTCTGTGGGAGAGGCCGGGAGGTCAACTGCCAGAGCCAAGCCCCAGAGACTGAGCCCAGACAGCTGATCTCAGTACATGCTGCACCCTGGTGGCTCCCCGCTAGGATTCTGACCTCTAGGTGGGGGGCCAAGGCTCCCTTCCCTGCCAGGCACCTGTAGGGGCACTACCCATCTGTCAGTGGAGGCTTGTCTCTGGCTATGGAGAGCTTCCAGACTAACAGACTAGGAAGAAAAGCCTGGTGAGCTACTTCCAAAAACCAGCCCCCACAAGTTCGGGGCCACTTTGACAGCATCGAGCAACAACAAAAGGAGCCCTGGTGGTGGTTATGATCTTGCTAACCACAAGACCCGCTGTTCAACAGCACGAGCTGCTCTGCAGGAGAAGGCGAGGCTTTCTACTCCTACCAAGAGTTACAGGCTCAGAAACTCACAGGGGTAGGTCCACCCTGTCTTATAGGGTCACAATGAGTCGGGATGGGCTTGATGGCAATGAGTTTGGTTGTTGAGAACCCCTAATCGGGCCTGTGCCTGGTCCTCTGAGCCTTTCTGCCCTCCCCGCCTTCACCTCAAGAGAGAAAGGCAAGGCGTTCTATTCCTGTAAAGAGTTACAGTCTCAGAAACCTACAAGTGCAGTTCTACTTTGTCCTAGAGCAGCGGTGCCCAACCTGTGGGTTGCAACCCCTTTGTGTGTGTGTGTCTGGGAGGGGGGGGGGTTGTCGAATGACCCTTTCACAGGGGTCACCCAATTCATAACAGTGGCAAAATGACAGTGATGAAGTAACAACGAAAATAATGTTATGGCTGGGGGGCCACCACAACAAGAGGAACTGTATGAAAGGGTCGCAGCATCAGGAAGGTTGAGAGCCACTGCTTCAGAGGGTCTCTGTGAGTCAGGATTGGCTCACTGGCAATGGGATTTGAGTACCTCCACCTGACCCCACCCATGCACCCATATTAACCAGGCACTTAGGGTAGGCGACTCACAGGGTTACTCTGAGAAGTCCGAACTCATCCGAGCAGTAATGTTTGGACTACATGCCTCGTCTTCTAGTGACAACTAATATTTACAGAAGAGATGTAAACAAACATTTGTACAATATATAATCACATGGGGGTCAGGGGAGGTCCTGGGAAGAGCCTACTGCAATATCTGAAATACATAGGATTTGCTCTATTGGGGGCTGAGACCCACCTCCCTCTGCCCACTGGGGTTCCCGGTCCATGCACCCTCACTTGAGCTGGTGCAGGACCCAGTGTCCTATGGCAGGGAGCCTTTGGGCCTAGTGGCAGATCCTCAGATGGTCCCTCCAGACTCCTCCCTGTGTGTAAACCCCGTTGGGCCTCCAGTGGGGTGGTAATTCCCTTTGAGTGGGGTAAAGGGGACCTGAGGCCCTGCCTCTAACTGCCGCTGACTCCCCCACAGCCGCGGTGGTGCAAGGCCAAGCTCAGAAACCAAGGAGACAGAGGCCACCTCCCAAGTGGAGGCCGGCAAGCGCTTGGAGGAGCTTCGACGCCGGCGCGGGGAGACGGAGAGTGAGGAGTTCGAGAAGCTCAAACAGAAGCAGCAGGAGGCAGCCCTGGAGCTGGAGGAGCTGAAGAAGAAGAGGGAGGAGCGGAGGAAAGTCCTGGAGGAAGAGGAGCAGAAGAAGAAGCAGGAGGAGGCAGAGCGCAAAGCCCGGGAGGAGGTAAGGGCACCCCTGACAGTCCCTCTAGGGAACTGAACGTGCTAGCCCAGCAGACAGCCTTTCCCCAGTGACACGATCCTACTGCTGATGAACACGAGAACTCTCTGCAGTCGACGTTAAGGATAAGGTGCTGCTCATTCTCGGCCTCTCTCTTGATGTGAGCGCCCTCTCAGCCCCGTTTTGCAGATGAGGAAACCGAGGGCTCTGTAAGCTCCCACAACTCTTCAGTGGTGGAGCTGGAATTTCAACAGGAGCAGTCCCCAGAGCCTCCCCTGCCTCCCAATAAGCAGCAGGGGAAGAATGGAGACGGACAGTAAGACTGCCAGTGAGTGGCCAGGCACACATGGTAGTGGGCTTTTCCTTTTTGAAGAGTTGTTGTGTAGACAACTTTTTAAAATAGATTATTATGGATTGGCTGGGTTCCTCGTCTTGTTTCACACTGTTTTTCATGGAAAAGTGAGCAGACTTCATGTAGCAGACAGAGGCTGTATATGCTCAGTTCACCGCCCTAGATCCCACAGAGCACCTGGTAGGTAGCAGGGATCCAAAAATTAAAAGAAGGAACCGTCGCTTAGGTCCATCTTGTAAGACAAGAACCAAAGTCAAGTTACAAGGAGGCAAACCTCGGCTAGACCTGTGAAGACATTCTTGCCATCTTCATATGAGGTCCCTTAATATTCGCCTTTGGTGGACCAAAACACAAGCCAATGATAGAATCAAACCAAGAAGCAAACTGTTGGGGTGGCTTGTTGGGAGCATAGAACCAATCCTGGAGCCCAGCTTTCCCCACTCAGAGCCTAGCACTTTGCAACATCCTGAGTTAGGGAGCTCCCTTCATCCAAAATACGCAAAAAGACTTCCCACGGCTTTCTGACCTGGATCCTATACAAAAATTCTTGAGCTGTGTGGGAAGTCTGGATAAATCATTCCCAGCCTTCTTCCAACATTAGCTTCCAGTGAGCCCTTGCCCACTGCCACAGAGTCTGTTCGGACTCATAGGACCCCTATAGGACAGCATAGCATGGCTCTGTAGGGTCTCTGTGTTAGACCAGTTGTCTACAGAAACAAATCTTATGAGGAGTGACACTCATCTATGAATGAGAAAAAGCTTTCTATCAAGAAATAATTACTTATCAAGAAGGTATTCCCACTCAGTCCAACTGGAGTCCCTAAGTTCGATGCTAGTCCATAAGTCCCCTTCTGAGTCACGCAGCTACGGGCTGGTGACACAGCTACAGGCTGGTGACACAGCATGGTGAACTGTGAGGTAGGGACCTCACAGGCCGGTGGGCGCAGACTCACCTGGACCCAAGGTCACTAGGAACAAGACAGGGCACCAGTAGGGACAGGTTTCAACACCTATGGTTTTGCCAGTCTCAGGAACATGGTGACACAGTGGGTTGAGCATTGGGCTGCTAACTGCAGGTTGATGGTTCAAACCCACCAGTGCTCGGAGGGAAAAAGATGAGGCTGTCTGCTCCCATGAAGATTTCGTGTCTCAGAAGCCCTACAAAGTCATTCTTCTCTGTCCTGTTGGGTCATGGAGTCAGAATGGACCAGGGCAGTATCTACACCTCTCAGGTTGGCCAAACCAGTCATAAGAATCTAGCCAGTGGGCATTGGACTGTGCGGTGGAGGGGGTCGGTGTGGGGAGGCTCAGGAAACAGCAGTAAAATCCTCTCTTATACCACCATCGATAGGAGCCCTCCAGCCACTCCTAGAGAGAAAGTTGAGACTTTCTGGTGCCGTGGTTACATGTTCAAAACCACCAGCTGCTCCAACAGAAAAAGATGAGGCTTTCTAGTCCCTTCAAGACGTACGGTCTAGGAAACCCACAGGTGCAGTCTCCCCTGTCCAATGGATCACCATGAATCGGAATCAACCTGATGGCAGACTTTGGATTTTTGAGAGCTCTACTCCCGTAAAGATTTACGGTCGCTCTGAGAAATGACTCAACTGCCACCAATTTTCGGTTTATTTTGATCCCCAGAGTTGCCGCTAACAGAGAGGCTGGAGAGCTGAGTCCACCAGCGGCAACTCACAGGAAAGGCCTGGTGACCGGTTCTGAAAATCCAGCCATGCTTTATGCTGGTGTGGGGGTCGGGGTGGGGGGGTCACCAGAGTTAAAATCAACTTGAGGCCACCTGCTTGTGGCTTTGTTTCAGTTGAGCTTTGTGCTATCCGCGCTTTGCCGATGAAGAAACCAGGGCACCAGGTAAAAAGTAGCGTGGCCAGGTGGCCCAGTTGGGAGGGGACGGCACCAGAATGCAAAACCAGGTTGGACTCTTGAGCTCTGCCTCCCTCTGGCAGCCAGCAGGAAGGAAGGACCCCCAGCCCGGGACCGAGCCCTCTGCTCTCAGCCAGCACTCCCTCAGTCCAGGCTTCGTCCTCTCCCCTGGGTGTGAGGTGGCTGCCTGTCTCCTTTCACTCTGCGCTTTCTCTCCCAGGAGGAGAAGAGGAGGCTAAAGGAGGAGATTGAAAGGCGAAGAGCAGAGGCTGCTGAGAAACGCCAGAAGATGCCCGAAGATGGCTTATCCGAGGATAAGAAGCCCTTCAAGTGCTTCACTCCCAAAGGTTCATCTCTCAAGGTATTAATTGCCCAGAAAACTTTACGATACAGGAAACGTGATGTGTCCCGTGAGGTGTGGATTCTCTGAGGCCGCTGCCTTTGTGGTCATCCTTCTTACAGGTTGTCTCTGGCTTCCAGCAAGCGGGAGGGAGCAGCAGCAAGCAAGGGACACCCCCTTTCCCCCAGTTCCTAATTTACAAGACACTTTGGTGTAAATGAAAGTGCCTTGCGCCATTCTCACTAGCTTGCTCTCTCCACATGACTCCTTGCTTTGAGCCCTTAGGAATGGAAACGTTTTAAAATTCCCCAAAAGGCTGAGCCGCTTTCCTGCTAGCTGGCCATTAACTCGCTGCCATTGGCCGCAAGGTAGTACAGGCGTGAATGGTAAGACTTTTACTTTGCGGGAGAGATGAACGGCGATGAGGGCCAGCTCCATTGCCAGGATGAGATTGGTCCAATCAGGACACTGCTCCTACTTAATGAAAGACAGAAGTGATGGCTAATGGGCGGAGAGGAAGGCAGGAGCAGAGTGGGAGACAGGAAGTCGGGTTAAGCTGTAGAGGGAAGAGGGCAGACTGGAGAGAGTACTCTCCGTTGATTGTGGTAATGATTGTACAAGTCTGCTTGATACGATCCAACCGTTGAATTGAATGATAGGTGGATTCTGTGCCAAGAAAACCTTTTTTAAAAGGAAAAGACGTAGGGGGCTACGTCAAAAAGCATTGCTACCTAACCATAGAACTTCAAACAAAAATATCATAATGTAAAAACAAATAAAATAATGAATTTGTGATGGTTTCCCTTATCCCGCTGCCTTATGGAACTAGTGTCCTGACTGTGAATCCTTAGATGCCGTCTGGGCCTCGTGCTGGTGGGCTCGCCCATCTGGATCACGTGTCTGTGTCTGTGTCTCTCTCTTTTTTTAATACTTTTACTGGGGGCTCTTACATCTCTTATCCATACATTCATCCAGTGTGTCAAGCACCATTTGCACATATGCCACCATCATTGTTTTCTTCTGCTTTTTTAAAAATCATTTTATTAGGGGCTCATACAACTCTTACCACAATCCATCCATACACCAATTGTGTAAA